TATACACGCGTTGAACATCGCGAAAAATGTTCACAAGACTATCGCAATTAGTTTCACTTTAGAAGTCCTCGTTACCGTTGACTATATATTATATGAAAGAACGCGAATTATTTATGACTCGAGGCTATTCATGCAAATTCGAATTCTCGTACACCGATTCGCGGGAACCTCGGGGCGCATACCGGAAATTTATTTCCCCTAATTGATATTCTCCGGCCGCGAATCCAGCACTCGCAGGGCACGATTGAAATTTTTATTTAGATCGTATTTTTCACCTTCGCGTGTGCTATACACGCATAAACATCCGCAGGTTATTTATACCTTTGGCCGATAAATCGATTAGAAAGGAAATCCATGGCGAAGCGTGCTGCTGATACGGCGAGTCAGTGTCTCGATCGTGTTACGGGAAATTGGGAACTGGAGAATGATTGGTTTTAACGATTGCGATGAAGGAATTAGGAGATTTTTGGTGGAACCTTGGATTAATATTGCAAAATTACAGTCTTTTATATAATATTGAACTTCGTATGATTATTATTATGATTAAGTAACAGAATTATTTTCGATGTTCCATCTGTTGATGCATTATAGAAAAATGTAATATTGAATTCTAAATTTTATCATTATCATGAGTCAAATCAAATGACTGAAAGATTTGATGTGCAAAATTACAAAGTCTTTTATATAATATTGAACTTCGTATGATTATTATTATGATTAAGTAACAGAATTGTTTTCGATGTTCCATCTGTTGATGCATTATAGAAAAATGTAATATTGAATTCTAAATTTTATCATTATCATGAGTCAAATCAAATGACTGAAAGATTTGATGTGCAAAATTACAAAGTCTTTTACGTAATATTGAACTTTGCACGATGGATCGATATGTGGAATATTGAAATAAAATAATCGACAGATCGATAGCTGGAGAAATTGGGTGGTTCCAGGGACGAGTCAGCGGAGACTGTTCGTCAGCTGGTAGGAAACGCCACGCTCTCGGAACACCTCGCGGAATTCACCGTCCCAGCTGCGGGAGTCGGCCTA